TTTCCTCGTGTAGGGGCCATTAAAAACATGAATAAGAAACACATTAAACTCACCCATTTTATACGACCAATTTGGATAAATTTCTCCAAAAACACTTCTAGTTGAAGAAAATATAAAGAGAAAATGAAATAAACTTCTCCAAAAGCTAAAATTAACTTATGTATCAGCTAATTTGCAAAAGTTCTCCCATATTAACTTCTCCAAAACATGTTTTTTAACTTATGTAGAAGCTAATTTTATTAGAAAAACTTACTTTTTCTTATAAGTTTATCCAAACAGACAAACAAACTATTAGAACAAGTTCATCAAATATTAAGAGTCTATTTAGATACAAGTTTAGAAGTGTTTTTGAGAGTTTCTATACCAAAAAATACTCTTTATTTCCGGTAGAAAAATTCTCAAAAACACTTCTAACTTGTATCCAAACTCACTTTAATATGACAATCTAAAAAGTGTTTCTAACTTGTATCTAAAGAGGCTCTAATCATGCATTCCAAACACACTTTGAATCATTGACTTTAAACACGGTGAACTAACCTTCAATCCAGGCACATAATCCCCACGCTTATAATAAGCAGGACTCTTGGCAGCCCTCCACTCCGCAGTCCCCATCCCATCTGCATTCACCAATCCAAAACCAATTCACCAACCCAATTCAGAAAAACTCAAAATAACGAAAACAATTGACATTAACTCACAGTGATTATTCTCGCAGACCAAAATGGCAGGAAGATCCCAAAGTGCGGCAATATTGAGCGCCTCAAAAAGCTGCCCCTGGTTGGCAGCTCCATCTCCATACAAAGCAAAGGTGACAGCCTCATCCTTAGAATACTTCTGCGCAAACGCCAAGCCACACCCCAACGGGATCTGCGCCCCCACAATCCCGTGCCCACCGTAGAACCCACTCTCCTTCTTGTAGAAATGCATGGAGCCCCCTTTGCCCTTGGAGCAGCCCTCTCTGCGGCCCATGAGCTCGGCGAAGACCTCGAGCAGCGTGCCGCCGCGGCCCAGGAAGGTGCAGTGGTCGCGGTAGGCGGTGATGATGCAGTCGCGCTTGGTGATTCCAGCCTCCATGCCGACGGCGACCGCCTCCTGGCCGTCGTAGAGGTGGCAGAAGCCGCGGATGAGCTTGGCCTTGTAGAGGGAGTCCGCGGCGATCTCCATGCGCCGCATCAGGGCCATGTCGCGGAAGAAGGTGAGGAGCTCCGGGGCGGAGGTGGCGACGTCACGCGACGGAGGGTCGCAGTTGTGCGCGGTGAAGGGGACCGAGGTCTCGATGGTGAGAGTGGCGTCGGAGGAGATCGGACGGGCGGAGAAGGGCCTCAGGAGGGTGGATCCGACGCCGCGGTGGGATAAACGTGACAGAGCCATGGCAATCTGGTTTCACAAAAGAAAAGAAAAGAAAATATGTGTGTGTGTGTGTGCGCTCTTTTGAAGAATTAAAGGGAAATGGGGTTTTGTGAGTGTGTAAGTGAGAGAAGATGAGGGTTAGGTGTAGCAGCAGAGAGTTGAAAGGAGAGGGAAGTAGATGAGAAGCGAAATGTGAGAGAGGAGACAGACAGAGAACCTTTTCTATTACTCTCTCCAATCAGGCAATCACAAGCGTTAACTTTATAAATATAGTTCTACTTTAAGATTATCATTTCTCCTTTAAAAGAAATAATCATTTATCATTATTGCTATTTTCACTTTCTTCATGGATTTTTTTAATAAATGTGTTTGCTCGAGTTTTTTTTTAAGGATAATTCAAAGAGCTAAGAAAAATAATTACCATAAATAGTTACGGGATAAAAAAAAATATGTTGTTACTTGTCAGTGATGTTTTCCTGTTAGAATTATCATACATAGTTACGGGGTAAAAAAAGATGTTAGTGAAGTTTTATGTAATAATTAGAAATTTATTTTAATAATATGCTTAATAAATAATTTTAATAAATGTTAAATGTAAAAATTTAATATAATTTATATTATTTATGAGTTAATAAATATAAATAGTTTTAAGAAAGAGTATGTTTACATGGATTATCTTTTAAAAAAGTTATACTCTTTCTATCTCATTATTGGTGTTATTTTAATTTTTTTATTAATATAAAAAATTAATAAATAAAATAGTAATTTTAATCTATATATAAATAGGAAATTCTTAAAAAAAATTAATTCAAATATAAATATATTTTAACTGACTTAATTTTATTTAATACTTTTAATTCAAAAATATCTCTACGATAATAAATAAGATTATTATTTACATAAAAATATGATTAAAAATATTTTAATAAATGTATCATATATTTATATAAAATCATAAAAATTAAATGTATTTATCTCTTTATTAACATGTGTGAAATTAATTATCTATTTTTTTTAATATATATGAAATGAGTTTTATTTTTTTTGCTTATGTATAAGTTCAAGGAGCACTAACATGTTTTAATATTTCAAATATTATAACAAATTACATTAAAACATTAACCACTCTCTTTATTTGCCACAAAAAATTGAATGAAAACATAATGATTTAAATATATTTTGAAAAGTGATAATAATACGTGTAAAAAAAAACAATTCTCTAGTTCCCACCACACTTCTATTAATATACTCTCTCTTATTGGTTATAGTTTATTAAATTAAAAAATTAAGAGAGAAAGACATTAAGTAGGATGTGAGATCCATTAATTTTTGTATTTTTTAAATAAATTTTAACAAATTTCAAAAAAGTAGTATTGTTTTAGTCTTTATACATTTTTTTTATTTCTCAAGTTTAAAATATGTTTTTAATTATAAATATATATATATATAATTAATACATCTATTCAAATGTTGCTAGTAAATATGTCTAATAAAATTAATCTATTACTGGATTTATAGCACATAAAAATTATTTTGTGTCATTTAAATTTAAATAAACCTTGAGATAGTACAATGTAATGTACTCTTTTTTACTATTAGTATGTTAAAAGACTTGCATTAACTCGGCAGCATATCTAACTTTAACATTTCTATTGCCTTTTTTTCACTATTAGGGCAATATGGATTTTTTTTATGTAAAGTATGCTAACAAAACAAATATTTTTCTTTATTACATATAATGGGAAAGACTGACATAAATCAATGACTAGTAGATGACAATAAAAGGAGAATGATAAAAGGTTGGCACATTATTAAAATATAAAAACTAATTTAGATTTTAAGACGTTATATATTATATCAGATGTGAACCACCAAAGTAGATTGTTCCGATAGAACCAATAGGAACTAAAAGGTATAAATGCTAATGAAAAACAAAGATAAATAGAATATATAATATTGATTAGTATAATTTAGAAAGACACGTTTTAACTTCTTTTTTTTTTTTTTTTTGAAATGTCAAAGAATGGATTTTATCAATGACATCAAGACATGGTACAAGTGGTTAAGTTTACAAAAAGTACAAGATATTGGGAAAAAAAAATTCCAACCAAAATATGCAACCATATTCCATAAAATAGGAGATACATGAAACTTAATTACTTTTTAGTTTAGAGACAGTAGATATTTAATCAAAATTCTCTAAATGCTGTATTAGCTACTTCAAATCAAGTGGGATATAATATTGAAATTAGGTTGAAGTTTAATATCATATAAGCAAATCTCAAGGCAAGTGAAAATTACTCCAAAAAAAAAATTCAAAAGAACCTCGCTTCATAAAACAAAAGAATAAATAAGTTGAGTATCAAATATTTGACATTTGTTAATGTTAACATGTTAACTTTGGTTAATTAAAATATTGTTGGTATTTGTCTAAACTTTTGTTATTGAATTGATAAAATCGGGGTAATGTGTTGAAGTGTTATATTTGAATAAATTTGGAATTTAGTATCATTTAAATAAACTTTAAGATAGTGAATTGTAATTTACTCTTTATTTTATTAAATAATTAACATTATAAGTACAGAAGAATACACACATGCCACACAAGTACATCATAACGTGATATTATAATTTGATAAATTTTAAAAGAATTAATATCATGCAAATAAAAACAACATATATCTACGGATCCAAAATCTAGTTTAACAAAACTAGTAAATTGACAAATATGCTTTAACAGCAGTGATATTATCATGCCGATAAAGAATTAGTCCAAGTGACAAGATTACATTGGAATGAAGCAATTTCCTATCAACTAAACTTTTATTAATAATAATAATGATGATGATTATCATAAAAGCATTGTTGAAAAATAATCATACAAAATCTACAAACGAATTCATCAGAGGAAGAGAGATTACCCTACAAGTTCACTTATTGGAGGCCGATCCATGACATCAGAAGCAGCCTTTGCATTGCGCTGCAACAATGGATCAATATCTGGCAATTTTGGAATCTGAACTAACAGATCAATGGTTCGTCGAAGGAGACGAGCTAAATCGCCATCATCCATTGCACAATCCATCATTATTTCTCTCCAGGTCAACCCAGAAGCCCAGGCCTCAACCATACCACAAAATTGACTATCCAAACAGCAAGATATTGTCACCCCATGCTTATCTTGCATTGCCAATAGGGCGCTTCTTTGCTCATCCAATAACGTTACGAACTTGGTTACAGTTGCAGAAGGCTCATAAATATAACTGTTATTTTTCCAGGGTCGGATTTTGATACCCTCGGACACCAAACTTGCACACACTGCAGCAAGCTGTGCGGGTTTTAGTTCTAGTAAAATTTTATTGCGAAGAACCATCGCAAGCCATAACTCATTTTCTCCTCGAATTGCAGCTGCTGTTTCACCAAGTGGAAATATGACATGCGTATTAATATCTAAAGCTCTGATTTCATGTATGACTTTGCTAACCTGCATAAACTCCTTCCAACCCGAGGGTTCAATCTGTTCTATCCGATTAATTAAACGTTTAGATCTATTCTTCAGGCGCTTGATTTTTTCCTCAGTAAACTTGACTGCATCTATGATTTTAAAATATTCTTTATAGCCTTCACTACGACCTATCTTTTTCTTCAAGCGTGCAACTTTATTTCTTTGTTCCTTGTAACGTTCAATGGCATCTTTGTAGTCTTGAGACTGTAGTAGTAGCTCATCATTTTCTGACAAGCTACTCAGAACAGGGACATTCAAGCTCCAAGACCATGTCTCCAGAGATCCTTCCATGAACCATAAACCACCATGTTCAGAGTTAGAAAGCCTGTCCCAATTCATGTCCTCCTTATCAAGGAGAATACTCATAATTTCTCTAGGTCGATCATCCCCTTGAGCCAATGGAACATTAGGAAACCCTGTCCCATAAACCGTTTTAATCCACTTTTCCGTAAATAGATACCAAGAGTTATCTGAACCAAGAGCCATGTGATATGATGGTTCAAGATCTTCATTCGACTCAGAATCAGCAATACTTGGCCCTGCTTCTGCTAAATTCAATGCAAAAGAATCAACAGAAGAAATCATATTTTTGAGTTTTGGAGCATTAAGAGAGTCAACCTTCCCCAAATACACAGCAGGAATCGAATGTTCAACTCCTTCAGAATCTCTATACTGCAAGCACAAAAACGGTAAATGTTCACTTTCAGGCTCCTCTAGCAAAGGTTTCAGGGCAGATAATCTCTTTGCTTCCTTTTGTTTCCGCAATTCAGTCCGAACACGTTTTTCTGCCCTCAAATCTTCCTGTAGTTCTGCAATTTCCTTGTATTGTCGTGGTGATAAAGCCTTCCTGGTTTTTTTATCAATTGCTTCATCAGTAATTTCTGACATCAGCAACTCAATTTCTTTCTCAATTTTAACAAGTTCCTCTTTAGCAGCCAGCATTACATTACTACTAACATAATTTCCAAAACTCTGCTCAACTAATTTCTTAGCTTCTTCCAAAGTTCTCCCTGTTAAAGTTTTCATGTTATCTGATTCATTCGACCTATGGATGGCTTTCACGCCAGCAAGAAGATTCAAAACCATTCCATATGAAGCAGTAAACTGTGACACTAGAGGCTCTAGTCCTGCAAACAGTACTTTGCATCCCTCTTCAGCACCTTCATTAGGAGCTTGGATGAGGACTACATGACCACTTTCATCGATGCCTCTGCGTCCAGCACGCCCAGCCATCTGAAGCAGTTCATTCGAGCTTAATGGGATTCGTCCACTATCACCTCTTTTACTGAGGGATGAAATAACAGCTGTTCTAGCGGGCATATTGATTCCAGCAGCCAGGGTTTCTGTAGCAAAAACAACCTTGACAAGTCCTCTTTGAAACAACTCTTCTATGAATGCCTTCCACAAAGGTAGACATCCAGCATGATGTGCAGCAACCCCTTGCAAAAGTCCTCTTATAGCTGATTCTCTAACAGCATCAGGATACTGCATGCGGAACCTCTTGAAGGCTAGTTCAACCTCACTTGTTTCACACTCATCTAAAAGTTTGCAATTTTCCAGATATTGCACAGCTGCATCACAACCCTTCCTGCTAAAAATAAACCAAACAGCTGGCAGCATGTCCCTGGACTGAAGTTGCCATAAAGTATCAATTACTTGAGGAACCTGAAAAAGATTAAGATTATACTCCATATAAGAACGAATGCTCGTTATTATAAAATATGAGATCCACGAGT